GCAAAGATTCTTTTTCCAGATAATGTAATCATTCAGGGGTTCTGGAAATCAGGATGTGGACTTGTCTTTTGGGGGCCAACATTTAGCTCCTCACGGCAGGGGGAGATGATAGAAAGAAGGAGGAAACAGGCCAGTGGGTCAGGGCGAGGGGCTCAGAACCCAAGCCAGTAATTAATTGGGTGAGAATGAGGAATGTGGTCCCTCTTTTTTTATACACTCCGGTTGGGGGAGGGGGGGCAGAGGCTGCCGCTAGAAGGGTTGGACCACAACAGCATTCGGTATTTGCCTCCTGCCTGCCCTCGCTCTTTTTTCTCTCCTGGGAGAGTGTAGAGGGCAAGATGGAGTCCCTCATGTCAAGCAGGGGCCTGTGTCAAGCAATGACACAGTGGCTAAGGGCATTGCGGTTACCAGATGACGCCGAAACGGACACCAGCTGATGACACGCTCAGAACTGATAACCAGCAGAAGCAGAGGAAGTCTGCAGAGGCCCAAGGCTGGTTAAATCCCTTTAAAAAGAGAGGATTTCAGCAGCGAACTGTCAGACTCCTCAGACACTGACCCCCTCAATGTCTGACCACTTCAAACAGGCAGCTGCCCCTGAAGGCTCTGCCTGATTGATCTCTGAAAAGAACAGAGATCCTCGGCTGCTGGGACATAATAAGCAATAAATGCAGACAGCTGACCCCGGACCAGACGGAGGCCTCATTCAACCGCACGCTCACAGACTGACTTGGAGTTTGGTTCGTTAATTTCCTACCCACCTCCCGTTCTATCTTGTGTGTCGTGCGACGCGTAAGAAGCGGAGTTTAACGCGCGGTGAAACGCCACCGAGTTTGGAATCCCGAAGTGGCTTTATTGATTATGTTGGCCTTGCTTTATGATTGAATAAAGGCTGCATTGTGGGAAGACCCAACTGGTGGGTGTGCCTTCACAGCACGCTCGTGACAGAGAGCTCCTGGGAGAAATCCTCCTTTTTTTGTTGTTGTTGTTGTTGTTTAAATTAATTTTCCTTTTATTGTGGTAAGAATGCTTAACATGAGATGTAGTCACTTAACAGATTCTTAAGTGTAAGCACAGCAGTGTTCACCTTAGGCACGATGTGGTACAGCAGATCCCCAGAATTTATTCATCTTGCTTGACTGAAACTTTATATCCATCAATCAGCAATTCCCCATTCCTTCCCCTCCCCCCGCCCCCCCCCCCCGCTGTCCATGGCAACCATTTTTCTACTCTTCCCTTCTTTTTAACTATTGTAGATTCCTCATACAAGTGGAATCATGCAGTATTTGTCTTTCTGCAAATGGCTTACTTCGCAGCACACAATGTCCTCTAGGTTAATCCCTGTTCTTGCATATCGCAGGTTTTCCTTCTAGTATAAGGCTGAAGAATATTCCATTGGACATATATACCACATGTTTTGATCCATTCATCCATCAGTGGACATTTAGGTTGCTTCCAAATCTGGGCGATTGTAAATAATGCTGCTATGAGCTCCTGATTTCAATCCTTTTGGATACACACCCAGGAATGGGATCGCTGGATTATATGGTGGCTCTATTTTTAATTTTTTGAGGACCCTCCCTACTGTTTTCCATAGTGGTTTCACCAATTTACATCCCCATCGATACCGTACGAGGGTTCCAACTTCTCCATCACTCTGATTTATTAGCTAGGTTCTTCTCTCTTTTTTTAATGTTTATTTTGGAGAGAGACAGAGCATGAGTGGGAGAGGGACAGAGAGAGAGAGAGAGAGGGAGATGCAGAATCCGAAGCAGGCCCCAGGCTCTGAGCTGTCAGCACAGAACCCCACGTGGGGCTCAAACCTACGAGCTGTGAGATCATGACCTGACTCGAAGTCAGATGCTTAACCGACTGAGCCACCCAGGTGCCCCAGCTAGGTTCTTTCTTGAGAACAAAAGTTTATTGTTTGAGCTTCCCATCCCTAGAGTCATGGTCCTTTCTAGCACCCATGAGAAAAAACTTTTTCCAATGAATAATGATTTTCTTTTAAAGTACACTTCCGGGGCACCTGGGTGGCTCAGGCGGTTAAGTGTCTGACTTCCGCTCAGGTCCTGATCTCTCGGTTTGTGGGTTTAAGCCCCGCATCGGGCTCTATGCTGACAGCTCAGAGCCTGGGGCCTGCTTCTGATTCTGTGTCTCCCTCTTTCTCTGCACCCCCCCCCCACTCTCTCTTTCTCTCTCTTTCTGTCTCTCAAAAATGAATAAACATTAAAAATAAATAAATAAAATAAAGTCCACTTCCTAATTTGAAGTTCTCCAAATGCTCTCTTCAGTGTGAATTCTACCGTGGCATGGTGAGTCCTCCAGGGTTTCTGTTACTCTAACGCTATTGATTAGGTATAGGCGTAATCTAGAAGTCCTTTCTCTCCACCTTTTACCCACTGGGAGATAACTTTGTAAAATGCATCCAACAGACTTGTTTGGGCAGAGTCTGGATACGGGTTGTATCAATCAGGATAGGCTAATTATTCTGTATTAACAACAAACCACAAATCTCCATCGACAATAAGAACAAAAGTTGACTTCTCAAAGCCAGCACACTTCCTTGGCTGGCTGTGCCCCAGTGTCATCTTTACCCAGGGACCTAGGCTGATGAAACATTGAAACGTTATGGGTCATCATGGCAGAGGGGAAATATAATCTCATTATCCCATAAGCCCAATAGCCTCAAGATCACTGTGACTTTTCTATGAATTTTACGCACTTGTAGTCACTTGTGGTTTTAGTGCCTGATGTTTTGAGCTCATTTGGGTGTCATCTCCGCAATCTTCTCTGCTCTTGCAGGTGCAGACAGAAAACTTAGACCTTTGTCCCCACCTTCCCTGCCCCCACAAAAGCCAACTGTCCCCAACTTACTACTCATACAAGGCACTACTCACTGAAGGTTTGATGTAGCCCAGCCCCTCCCACTGGAAAATCCCTCCCAAGGAACCACTTTTTCCTTTCCAGGCCTCCCCCTAGGATTCTGGCTTCCCCAGCTTTCCCTTAATTCAATCCCGTTCACTTTATTATGCAGAGCGATTTAATTCTCTTTCCTTCTACTCTGCCCCAGGCTTGCCTTTGCATAGCCAAAGATTCATTAATGTCTCCATAAAACAAAGGGCCATTTATGCAATACAGAATCATTGGCAGAGATTTAGTAATTTCTCATTTTCTCCTACTACGTGGGTGTAAGAAAGCTCTATGGAAATTTATTTTCCTCATACAGGAAGGCTGAAATGGCTACAGTTGGGGTTTTAAATAACATTTTCCCTCCTCCTTTCAGGTACACATGACATCGATTTCTCACAAACTTATTTGAAACAAACTTTTGGTCTCAGAAAGCCTTTCCACACTTAAACATTATTGCGAACCCTAAATAAACTTTGTTTCCATGGGCTTTATCGGTATTTACCACATTAGAAATTAAAACAAAAACCTATACCATTCTTTGAAACAAAAACAAATCCATTCCATATTAGCATAAATGAGATCCTTTTGCGAAAGAATACATTTCAGAAACAAAAAACCTGAGTGGGAACGGCACGGTTTTGTTTTTTGCAAGCCTCTTTAAAGTCTGGCTTAATACGAGGCAGCTGTTGAGCGTTCAACGTTTTCGCCATGTGACAAGTCCCACCGCTTCTGGAAAACCCAACCGTGGGCCACGTGTGAGGGAAGGATAGTGAAAAGAGCAGCTTGGTGTCCGAAAGCTAATGTCTACCTTGCTGACCCTGCTGTGTCAACCGCTGTTTTCACGCATTCTAGTTGGGCATCGTCTTCAGAAAGTAAACAAACGAACAAAGCAATGAGCCGGTGAATGAAATCTCAACCTTGAGCCTGGATGTAGGATGAACTCATTGGCTAACTTGCATTTAAATTAAATTACTATGGGGGCACCTGGGTGGCTCAGTGGGTTAAGCACCAGACTTCAGCTCAGGTCGTGATCTCACCGTTAGTGGGTTTGAGACCCCCCGCCGCCTCTGTGCTGACAGCTCAGAGCCTGGATGGAGCCTGCCTGGGTTTCTGTGTCTCCCTCTCTCTCTGTCCCTCCCCCACTCACGCTCTCTCTCAAAAATAAACATTAAAATTTTTAAAAAAAAATAACTATGATTTAAGAGGGTATTTAAAAACCGTGCATCAAGGATGCACAGAAACTGGGGACACTTCCGCCCTGGTCTCTATCTGATAAAGTTCCTTCCCGTCCTTCAAATCGACCTGCTTTGAATGACACCTCCTCTACTCTTCCCTACCATAAATAATAACAAGAATGAAAACAGCATTAACAGCATTGATAACTTTTATTGGCGAATCCTAGCCAAGCCACGCCAAAACTTTACACGTGTTACCTCCTTCGATGGTCACAGTAACACTGAGCAAGGTGCTGCCGTGTAATTTTACGGATCAGGAGGCTGCAGGCTGAAAAATAAAGGCCTTTGGCCTCTGGCTCTATGCCTTGCACACCTGCTCTACCCTAGCACTCATTGCATCCGGGAAGTCACCATGCACGTGCTTCTGTCCCCCGCAAGGTGAGTCCTTGAGGTCAAGGGTCAGGCTGGGTTGCCTCCAGGGCGCCCCAGACCCAGGTCCCCCGCGCGCGCGCGCGTGCGCGCGGCCGGCCCAGCCAGTGGAAGAGCCCAGAGAGGGGAGCCAGTCTTCTGGCTTCTCGATCCTCTCGCTCCCTCGGCCCGTCCGCCCCAAGCGGGACCTCTCCCTGCGGCCAAGCCCTTCGAGCTTTCCCGGGAGGCGAAGAGGGCGCGGGGGCGCGCGCCGCAGGATCCAGGCCGCCGCGGTCGCGCGCGGGCAGAGCCCGGAACCTTTCTCTTCTCGCCGCGGTCACCCCGCGGAGGCCGGAACCTTTCTTCTCGCCTCGCTCTGGCGCCGGGCGTGGGGGGGAGGCGTGCGGAAACGGACCGGTCCCCCGGCGGCCGGGAGGGCGCACGCCGCCGTCGCAAACTGCTTACGTGGGCCGGCCGGGAAGGGGGTCGGGGGTGTGGGTCGCCATGGCGGTGGATATCACGCTGCTGTTCCGGGCCAGCGTCAAGACCGTGAAGACGCGCAACAAAGCCCTGGGAGTGGCGGTGGGCGGCGGGGCTGACGGCAGCCGCGACGAGCTGTTCCGCCGGAGCCCCCGGCCCAAGAGCGACTTCTCCAGCCGGGCGCGGGAAGTGGTGAGCTGGTTGCTATGGAAACGGCGGGCTGGCGAGGGGGGCGGACCCGCGACGTGGACCCCAGACCCCAAACCGGCCCCTGGCCGGTAGTCGCTGTGTGAAGGAGTAGCCTGGAGAAAGCGGTCTGGAGTGGGGGACCGGAGAGCCGACAGCTGTCTTGGGAAAGGAACAGCCTCGTTTCGAGGGATGGGAAGGCATGTTGGGGAACTCGAAAATCTCTTGTCCGCAGAGTTCTCGGGCTGCCTTGCGAGGTATTGAGCCCGCCGTCTCTGCGGACTTGGACTCCGGAGACACTTCCTCACAGGCCTTTGCTTTTCTGTCGCAGCACCGACCACAGTGTATTCGCCTCTTCAGTTTGCTCGTCTCGTCCCTCTCTCCTTCCCCTTTCCCCTCCTCTTCCCCTTCCCGGCTCAGTGAGATCAAAGATCACATTCACCTGACCTCTCTCTTCGTCTTGCCTCCCGCTATCGGTTAAGGGCCCAAGCTAGGGATCAGTAGGGACCAGTCTTGATACTGTTTAGGATAGGATACTGTTTAGGTTTAGGATAATCTTTCACAAACACTCTGTTACAGTCCTCTAAACTCCTTTCTGTTTCCTGAACACAGCAGGCTTTCCTTCAGGAGAGCGGAAAACTTCTTGAGGGTGGGAGCAGTGACCTCAGAATCTCCAGTGCCCGACTCCTAGCACTGTTGAGTAAATGGCTTTTGAATAAATGAATGAGTGGACAAATGGTTGTCTTGTCTTCCACACTGAACAGGAAACTCTCTAAGTGGAGAGAGAACATTTTGCCCTGTTCACTGTTGTATCGTTGGCCCCAAAGGTGGATCTGGTGTACGTGGAGCTTGAAGCTTATACGATTCTGTCTGTCCCCTTTAAGAAATAAAAATACCGAAGCACAAGAAGAGGTTCAGAGCTTTGGAAGGGGCAGGTGAGGGGTCCTGAAAGTTAAACTTCATGAATTTCACGGTGAATCCACTTCTCTTTGGCATACAGTCCGATCAGATCGATGCCTGGTCCTTTGTAGACACTCAGATAGTTTTAAATGAATCTCTAAATGCATGAATTAATGTGTGGCAGCTTAATCAAGGGTCAGAAGGGGGATTGGGCCAGGTGAATACAGGTAGTCCATCAGTAAACATCTATTAAGCACCTGCTTTGTTACAGTGACACAATTTAAAAGGAATGGTGGAGGAGACGGTCACAAAACAAGTATCCTACAGCCTCATAGATACTGTGCAGGGTACAGAGGAGGATGTGGTCAGTTCTCCCTGAGGGCAAAGAAAGGCTTTGGAGAGTTGATGATGCCTGAAACAAATCTTGAAAGAGGAGTAGATGGTTCCAGTGTCAGAAGGTGGAGAATGGCATCTCAAGAGAAGAGATGCACAAAGATGTGGAAATAGGGAACTTTTATGCTCAGTTTATGTGTACTCAGTGCGCGTCTACGTGTTAAATCACATACAAGTTAGGCGGTAATGACATTTCAGATTTTTTTTGGAGCAACTTATCATACTGTCTGACCTCCAGTGAGTGAGGAATATGCCACTTTGCAATGCTATTGAATTGTTTTGATAAGCATGTGAGTGTGGCTGGAATGTGGGAACTTTGCTCTGCAGGCAGACAGATGTTATGTGGTAGAGAGTACTAGAGAAGGGGCCAAGAAACCAGGTGGTTGTCTTAACGCTGCAACTATTAGCTGTACAAGGTTATGAAGCAAATTTTGTGGCTTTAGTTTATTTACCTGTAAATGTTCCCCCTTTTTTCCCCTTCAAACGGCAGAAGACTTTTAAACTGCTTTGATCCCCTATTTATAGCAGATCAGAAGAGGGGCTTCTCAGGTTGAAATGAGAGGAAAGGACACTAGGACGTTCTCCCTCTGCCTCCCCCCAGTTTGGTCCAGGCTCTTCCTGAGGTTCCTCATGTGGAGTTGTTATCTGTGAAGGTCACCGTTTTGGGTTTTGGGCGGGCCCTTTCTAACTCTGAAATCACTGATTTATTAAAAAAAAAAAAATTTTTTTTTAACGTTTATTTATTTTTGAGACAGAGAGAGACAGAGCATGAACGGGGGAGGGGCAGAGAGAGAGGGAGACACAGAATCAGAAGCAGGCTCCAGGCTCTGAGCCATCAGCCCAGAGCCTGACGTGGGGCTCGAACTCACGGACCGCGAGATTGTGACCCGGGCTAAAGTCGGACGCTTAACCGACTGAGCCACCCAGGCGCCCCTGAAATCACTGATTTATTAACACCGTGCTGATTTTGGATCGTGTTCAGGAGTAGGAGATACGCAGGTGGTGGGGACAAGACGCACAGTTAGGATGGAACCCTTATTGAGGTTAGGCCTTAGGCCTTTTCCTGAGGGATAGGAATGTGCTTTAGGCTTTTGAATTAATGAGCCTCAGGGACAGTAACAGGACCCCGGGCTGCTGAATTTCCTGTCACTGGAGGTAATTAAACAGAGGGATGACTGCTTGTCAGAGATGTTTGAGAGGGTTGGGTTGCACGCCATTGGAAGTCATTTCTGAGATTTGAAGATGTGAGTAGGTGTTAAGGCTTGGAGAGTCAGTTAAGTGGGGACATAGGCTGCATTGTTCAGGACTCCTGCCCTTCCTGATGTAGGGAAAACATGCATTTTTTTTTTTTTGCATTCTTTTGAGGAATTTTGATTTTATGTTGTAGTTGCTTGGTGTATTACCTCCTGTTCTTGCAACCATTCCCCCTACACCCTCTTCCCCCCAGATTTAGTATAGAGCAGGTGAGGGGGTGTCCTGTACTCCTGCCACAATCAGATGTGTCAGAAGGCCGGCTGTTGTTTTGTTTGTCCTGGATTGTTTATACGTCAAAGTCTGGTCAATACCAGGAGCACGTACTCTGGTTCGGGGTTAGCTCTGGTCGTCAGACCTAAGGAACAGTAGCAGGTGATAGTAACATCTCTCATTGAATGCCTTCCTCGAAGCACGCGTGATCATTTCTAAGATGCACGTTGCCGGCCAACTCTAGTTCTTCTCATTCCTGATGTCAGTTTTTCATTTTTCTGAATCGTCCTAGAGGTATTATCAAGATCAGTAAAACTGTATTGAAACTAGATTTTTAATTTACCCCATAGGCTGGTTTCATCATCATTCCTTTGAGTATTTAACTTTTATGCCCAAATTTGTTGAATTCATGTATACTCAATGCCTGTCTACCCATTAAATTACAGACAGTAGTAATAACATTCCTATCTCGGGATGTGGTACTTGTTGTAGCTGAAAAACTCTCAATAATGATGAGTGTGCCACTTTGCGGGGGGAACCTCACTAACTCATTTAGATTGTGAGGCGAGTGTGGGGGACCTTGGGAGTGGACAGAGCTCTGGGGCCTGGATTCAGAAGACGTAGCTTAAGATCTGGGTTCTGCTCCGTAGAACTGGGTGACTTGGGCAAGTCCTCTTACCTGAGTCTCATTTTTCACTTCTATCACATGGGTATGATCATACCCTTCTGAACTCATAGGCTAATTACTGGCATCTTCTGAGACTATGTATCATAGGGAACCATACTGATCATTAGTTCCCCTTTGCCCCCCGCCTTCACCCCATGTAGGCCATTCAGATGTTTTCATCAGTGGCTCTAAGCTATATTCCCCAAACCGTTTAGCTTTCCTGTACTTGCCTTTTTTTCTCACAAAAGGGAACCAAGAAAGTTCACAGAGGAATCCGTGAAAATCCTGTGCAGGTACTAAGGGCATCGGTGGTGGAGACAGCAGCATTGCTGGTTAAGGTGGCACTCTTCTCAGCAACGGCACGTGTGTGGCAAGCAGGCATCTGTTCCTCTGTCTTCCTCCCTGTGACCGTGGAGGCCAGTGCTAATTTCCTAGTAGATCTTAGCGCTCAGAATCCTTTGCAGCACTGTGGCCGAGGCAGCCAATTGTTAGGCCTGACATTCAACTTGAAATCTGCTTGGCCTCCTGCCTGATACAGAGTAAAAACAGAATCTGTATGCTTAAAGCAGAACCATGGACTTTGTCGTTAAGTACTTAAAAGGATCTTGCATTCACGTTATTCGGGCTTCTCATTTTGTCCGTGAGAGAAGTAATGCCCAGGCAAGTGACATGACTTGCTCAGAGTGATGGTAGCTGAGTCATAGGACTGAGCCAGAGGCAGAAGCCAGGTCCTTTGACCCTCGTGTGACGCTGTTTCCCACACTACATCCCAGCCAGTGGGAAGCACGGACCAGACCATCAGAAAACCTGTGCTGTTTACTACCAGGTCTGTAGTACAAGCAGGCAGGCCTCAGGCTCTTTCTGGGCCTCAGTTTCCACTGGTTACACTGAGAGCTCAGACTACATGACTGCGATTTCTTGTAAAGCAAAGACGTTGTGATTCCATATAAGTAATAGTGACCCTGAGCTCTGGAAATTCTGTTTTCAGATAAGGCACACAGATGAAGTTTTCTTTGTTGATTACATATTGCTTTTGTGAGAGCTACATGTCTTGTTTTCATTTAGAGTTTTTAAGGAACTGATTATCTTGAGTTTCTGGCTGAAAGTCAAAGTTCTTATAGTGGCCCAGAGCCGGCTGCTCTGGTCCCTGCTCCCTCTCTGACCTCACCTCTTCCTCCTCCCCCCTTCCTCTTGTTCACTGTGCTCCAGCTCCCCGACCCCTTCGCTTTTCTCACTTGAACTGATGGGTTGCTACCTTAGGGCCTTTGTGTTTGTCGTTCCCTCCGTGTGGAACACTTTTCCCCTGGTTCTATGTGGTTTGATCTTCAGGTCTCTGTTCAAATGTTGCCTCAGTGAGACCTTCCTTGACTGCCCTGTATAAAGTAGCTTCCTTCTCCTGTCCCTCACTGTGCTTTATTTTTGTTATCTAATGTGTTGTATCCATTTATTTATTGTGCATCCACTGGAATATAAGCCTCCTGAGAACAAGGACTTTGTGTAGTCTACCCCTGAATCCATGGTTCTAGACAGTACAGGAACACCGGTACTCAATAAATATTTCTTGAATGAATGAAGAAGTGTT